AGCCCCAAGCCCACCCTTTATTCAGGCAGAGTCTCTCAGTGAGTGAATACTCTAAATTGGAGCCGGGCTAATTTTAGTTCGGAAAGGTCGCCAAAGCCAAGGGATATTATTGTTCGGATTGTTTGATGTTGGATCAGACCCCACCGCTTCTCAGCACCCCCCTCACCCCCCCAAAACACCACTTTTTATCGCCAGGAAAATCAACAGCTGGAGAATTTATTCCCCCACCCCCTTGCCAAAAGCGAGAAAAGGCAGAAAAAAAAAAATGAAGAGATGGAGATTTTCTTTTTTTATTAGTATTATTTTTATTTTTTGCTCCGGGGGAAACGGGGATTTGTTCAGATCTGTCCCCCCTCCCCACCACCCCCCCCAGATCCTCTCGCTCTTTCCTCGTGTCCCTTCGAATCTTTCGACAAGTTTCTTCTGCTCATTACTGATCCCGCTTGGCAGCCGGGCTGCCTTTTGAGGAGCCTTCCTCCCCCCCATCTGCCGACCCTCCTCCGCGGTGGGCGCACTCGTTAAGCATACGTGGAGCTTAATTGGCTGCAGAAAGCTCCCCAGCCTCTGGGCTGCCAGCCGAATGCCAATTTGTACCCAGCTGGCACACTGGGGTTGTCACCTCAGCTCCGGCCATGTCCCCTGGCATCCTCCTGGGCTCTGCTCAGCCCTTGTCCCCTCCGGGTGGGTGGTGATGGAGCTTGTGGCCACCATCCAACCCATCGCACCAGGATGGCTGGTAGCCCCAGGGACCATCCCACGTGGACCAGAAATTGGGGAGACAGCCCCAAACCCAGGCAGACATGGTTGTGAACCTTGCCCATGCCACCCCCTTCTCCTGTCCAAGAAACACCCACCCCCAGCAACCCCCTCCTGACCTTCTCCCGGGCCCCGTTTCAGAACGAAACGGATGACAACCAGATCCAGCTGGTGGGAGGTGACGTGGAGCTGCCCAAGGAGCTGGCCAAGATGATCGAGCAAGACAACGAGGAAGAGGAGGAGAAGAACTCGGTCATCGGCCAGCTCAGCAACATCCAGAACCTGGACCTTGATTCCTTGAAGGACAAAGCTTCGGCCACGCTAGAGGACCTGAAGCAATCGGCTGAGAAATGCGCCGTGATGTGACCCCCCCCCAAGCCTGGAGACCCCCCCCCCGCCCGGCCAGGGGGGAGAAGGCAGGCAAGGGGCCG